GAAGCACACACGAGATCTTGGTAAGATGGACACTGGGTAACGCACACACACTGAGCAACACTTGCTGACATGGCTTGACAAACACCAAAATATTCACAGGTCTTGTTGATGCATGGATCAAGATCTAATAATATAGAAAAGAAAAACATGAAAAAACATAAAATGCAATTTCAACAACTTATAAATTATTAAAATGATTGCTAAAATAATGTTATTCAAGTTTAAAATAAAGTAAGAACAAAAACGCTTTGCAATAACTAAAGCATAAACTAGTGCATCCATCATTGACGAAAATACCTTAAAAGTACTTTTTAAAATGAAATATATATGGCGGTCTTTCTTACCTCCAAACACCATATAGTCCACCTCGATAGGGTGATGTTTGTTCTTCAGACCAACAAGGTCCTTAACACATGTTTTAAATTGTGTTCGTGTAGTTTCCTGCAACAAGCAATAGTCTATTTATCAAATGATTGCAGACGAAATTCAAGTCGACCAAGAAACATCAAGATATTAACTTTTCATGTCATTACGATTAATGCAAATCAATAAACTAATTTTTTTTGTACCCAGTCRACCAACTYACCTCAACCCAGGCAGCAATGGAGTTGTCTTCAGGACGAATGGCATTGACATTACTKCTGTCATAGTGATGACTTGGTGCAACAACAATTGTCGGGGGAGCATAATACGGCTCGTGGAAACTCACAATCTGAAATTGAAAATTACTATGTCGCTTTACTGAAAAAAAGGAGGGCGGTTTAAAAGAATGTGATATAGTTAGGTTAGGTTTTAAGGGTCGATATGGCCTGTTTACAATTTCCTTAACTTGAAAATAAGCATTAGTATGTTGCATTACTTACGAAAATGACCATGAGAGGGTGGTTTAAATAAAGGGATGTTTATTTGAACATGTATCTGCAATATTCTCGTTAGCATTTAAGGGTCGATATGGACCAGAAACAATTCCTTATCTTGACCCTGAGATAATTTGGAATACCTGGCAAAAGGCATCATTGTCAGCCTCACTTGGTACAGGTGTGTTTGGGAAGTCTACTCTGATAAAGTCGTGATAATTCCATGTCTGGGGAACTTCAGTCATTGCCATCCAAGTCTGCAATAGATAATACAAATTAAAAAATTTATAATAACATCAAATTGATATTGTTAAATAGATATTGATGATCTGCCTTAATGATTCAAAAATTATAATTTTAAAGTATGTTACTAATGTGGAATGACACATGTCCACAATACCGTACCACATCGATGTCCTTATGGCGTCCATCAAAGGTTCTTGCTTCTCTCATACAAACAATGAAATCGTTTGTGGTGRYTCCTTCCRCCCAAACTGTAGCTGCATCATGCTTGTTGTCCAACACATTGTGATGTGCAGTAACGAAGACATGAGGAACACTTGGATAAGACTTACACTTGGAAATTGGAAAATTGAGAAGACAAGTCCATTGAGACAAAAAAAGAAGGAAGTTTTCAACAAATGAAAAGGGAAATACAGTTATTCTGCAGTTCTACAAAAAGAGGACAAAAAAAGTAAGAAAAGAGGAAATAGGAAAACGAAAAAGAATGCTTAAATTAAAGAATAAGAAAAACAAAAAGGTATGAAAAATAAGAGAAAAAAGAAAGAACAGAATTTAAAGGAATGCAGCTTAAAATAATTTAGAAAAAAAATGGAATAGAAAGAATTACTATAATGTTCATAAGAACAAATTTATATCGCTTATTTGAGCGAGAGAAAAAATAAGTGCAAGAAAAAAAATACTCATAAGAAACATGAAGCAATGTTAACAGCAAAAAAAACAAAAAAAAAAAAAAAACAAAACAAATCAAAACACAAAAAAGCACAAAAAATAAAATTAAAATAAATAAAATTCCAAAAATTAAACAATGTAAACGTGAAAAAAAAAATGAAAAAAAAAATCACTTACCTGGGAAAGACGAACTTGTTTGCACTCCGTTCCCGTCGTCCAGCTGTCGTTGAACCTCACAGAGCCGTTCGTCACACCAGACTGTACGCCTTGGTAAGCCATCCAATTAATTGTCACATTACCACTTGATCCAGCGCCATTCTCTACCAGACAAACTTTAAAACTACTTGTAGTGACAGACTCAACCCACGTGAACACTACGTCATGTCAGGTCAGACGATGTCAGGTCAGACGATGAGTCTGCTACTGGTAACATTGTAACCCAGTACAACCTGCCTCATGGACGGATCGTCGGCGTCTAAACCGGCTCCCCCACCAGTCTAACTGGTGAGGAGGGTGGCATGTACACCCAGCAGGACTAAAAACAAGACCTGTCAAAGGGCGAATGAGCTCATCTGAGCCACCGGCCATCATGCATGCTTCTTTATTCCTTGTATGTATTTTTTGTAGTGTCATTTATATTTTAATTTTTATTGTTGTAATTTTTAAGTTTGATATCTTGGGACGGACTAAGAGCGGCAGCCATGAGGTGCCATCTTAAGCTCGCAGTCTACCATGACTCTGTCATTGTAATTGTTTGTAATTTGAAAGCGCTTAGAGCAGATTTGTATAAGCGCTGTATAAAAATAAAATTATTATTATTATTATTATTATGTACAAGTGATGAGCTCGTGCCAAAAACAACTGACGTAAAGACTTTGACAGGATCAACTCCCGTGAAGGCTGTTGGGAAGGTGATAGTATCGCAGTAGTAATTATCAGGGTTTGTTTGCCCGATGCGAAGAGTTCCTTGCTGCACACCTAGAAAAACATGGTGCCATTTAGAATTAATTGAGTTTACTAACAGGCTCTTCTAAGTACATAAAACTATTTTTTYACTTTGGYAGAATGGTTTGATCATTACGATTTAGAGAGGAATACAAATTAGATGCATATTTTTGCAAAATTTAGCTTTTGTCCGCCCAAAATTGTTTCGTGAGGAATAAAGAAAAGATTTTTAAACCAAAATAGTGTTACTTACCTTCAGTAGCGACGAGAACCGATACAAACAACAACACGACCAGCGAGAACTTCATTTTTGCTTGCTCCACTCGTCACGACGACTTGTAGAAACTGAATCAGTACCTCGTAGTAACGCCCTTACATAGTGACTGTATTGGCTTTAAACATATTTGATCAAATCGTGTTCTCTTCGAACTTTAGCTTAATCGTTTTACCAAAACAGTATGTAAGAATTTGATATCTGATCCAAAAAAAATTGATCGAAAATTAAATTCTTCTTAATAGAGAAATATACTTTGTTTATAAGCTCAAGGAGAATGTGGGAGTCCATCATTTAATGCATATGCCTTACGTTACCAAAAGCATAGTTTTAAGATAAAAATCTGTCTACAGTCAAGAGATTATTTSAAAATAATAGTTCCTTTGTTACAGAAGAAAATGCGTTTTCGCACAATCTTACAACTTTTYAAAACTTTAAAAAGTTTAAGACAATATACGATTCATTCGATTAAAGAATCAATTTTAACGGAATGTAGCATTTGCCTGTAAATCACACAGTACGGAACATACACGTTAGACTTCCGTCTTTAAGAATGTTAGCACAACATAAGGTCAACTAGTCCCAATGCAGGACAATAGTTTGCACGTTAAAGGTCGCAAAAGCGTTTACTGCCTTTAGGGGGAATTGTTATAAATACCTTGAAACTAAACACGTCTCAATTCTTTTGTTTTAAATTTACTTTTTTCAGTTTTGATGATTTTTACTTATTTACTTTTGCAATGCTTTAAGCCATTATTTTTTTCAAACGAGTGCGTTTTCTCATTTGTATATTTATTTAATGCAGACAGACACTAAAATTAGAATAGTAACCTCGGGAATTTCAACCTTTACGGGTTCACCCGGTAATGCGCTGGTATTCTCTTGTATTTTGGTCATTAAGAAACTAAGGAAATTCATCGTTTTTTACGGAGTGAGAAGACATGGGCGGCTGCTAAAGGAGGCAACAGTACTGCCGATAATGTAAATCACAAATCCAACAAAAATTTGTTACACAAAATAAGTAAAACAAAATGTTTATTGATTAAAATAACTCCACAAATCATCTAATTAACACATTACAAATTACCAGACCAGTATTCATGCATAACTGGTCATTCATTTCGCATTTTTCGTATCGAATAACTTCTTTATTACTGTAACACACCTATTACTGATATCATTTATAGATTCCTTTAAAGCGGATACGTAGCTATACGTGAACAAAATGCGACAGTACAAACTGGAATATTTCATTTTGTCTTTACTGAAAGTCTACGGCTCCGACGTTTAGAAGAATGCAACCAATACGACAACTTAAGGTTTTTTGGCCTTTAAAAGTTTAAAAACTTTCATTATTAGTTGGTTGTTTCATAGAAAACCTCGACGTCACTCGGTGTAAAGTGAGCGTTGCCTGTGTAGAACGAGCAGTAATTACCGTTGCTGCAGCCAGGCGGGGCTTTGTATGTGGACACATAAAAATAGCTATCACTGTTACTTGTTGCGTGGTTAGATATGTGCATGTCATTTCCTATACCGAATGTAGGGCCATAACTACTGCTTCTATATATAGAATACTGTTGATATGGTACTTGAGGTAACTTGATAGGATAGTAGCCATTTGTATTGTGCAGTGTGAACAGGAAAGCATTGCGGGCGTACGAGTAGCCGCTTGAACCTGTAAGTAAATCAATAAATTACTTTCCCTTCTATCAGATACTTCATAAAGGAAGCCTCTCACGGGCATGCGTTAGATTAAAGGCTACCACCATGACGTCCTGTCATAATGATCTTTCAAGATGTCAGCCGAAAATAAATTGTTACAATATCAATAAATTTGTACACATTTGTGAAAAATATGTTTGAAGACTAAAATATTGCAGAATAGATTGGATAAATAACAATTTTGATGATGAGTAAACAGCGGTAAATATCTTTTTTTGTCGGTTTTATCACGAAAAGCCGGATATGTACGCAAGCTGTTAACAAAACAATATTGAGAAAAACAAATCTGACAACAAACCAAAACCAAATCAAGAAAAATTATAAATTTTGTAAAAAGTTTGTTTGTCTATATTTGACTTACATATTGCTTAATCAAATTGCATCCCATTTCCCCAAAGTCGACCTCATTTCATGCTATATGTTAAACTGTTTTCGTTTTTAAAATCACCTCTTTCGACACACTACACCAAGACCTTTGAATGAAACATGTTTCGTCTATTAGACCTTTTCAATCATTTCATTTGTATTATATACAATTGTCTTTTGAGTCAAATTAGGAGGAATCGCGTCAGATTTTCTAAAGTCACATGATATATGACGTAAAATACTGTGGTTGACAACACGAAATCTTTGATTCAAAGGAATATACCTCTAACCCGACTAGAGGGGAAATTTGGTCATTAAAAAGATTCGTGTAAGATTGATAATTCAATCGGCTAAAATTTGTCCGAGGTCAATACTTTTGATAACGTTTACGGAAAAATACTGCCCAAGGAATGATTAACAGATTAAAAATTATTCAGAAAAAAAAACGATGATAAATAGCAATATTTCATTAATGTTTTGATTACTGGTCCGTAGCTGAATGTTTGTACAGAGATGCAGTGCAGATATATGTATTTTTTGAAATACTTACTGTCCCATGATACATCAGAATAGCCACCAAAGATGTAACTACCAACACGAACAATAGTAACTGTCGGTCCTTTGTTGTCACACTGGGGGTGGAATGTTGTAGTCACATCCCATCCATCGCTAGCAGCTCTCCAACATCTTACCCAACGACTTCTACTAAAATCTTGAAGAACTCGAATCAGATAATTAGACAGCTTCTGCAGATAGTTGTTGTTGTCACGGAGAATATTGGAATCCTTAAGTTCAACTGAAACTAAACAATGTACAATTTACAAGCGTAAATAATCTCTATAATACAGCGAAGAAAATCTAAAACAAAGTTGACAATTAAAAGCCAAACACTTCATGACCGAAAATGTCTCATGCTTAATGAATGCACACACAAGTTGATCTCAAGCTCAAGAGGGTGAGCTGCATTATTGATTTCAAAGTTACATGTGAGATCGACAAGGATAAGGGGGTACTCCCAACTCGGTCGTACATGTCAATTTGCGAATTTCATTAGTTTAACACAAAAGAATCAAGACGAGGCGGCATGCATATCGTCATTCAATCGTAAAAGTTATTGTTCATTATACGAATTATTATACGAATGAAATGAATCATATTTTCNCAAACAGAATGTTTGCAGAGACGTCGCTGTTCCGGACCTTAACATACGCTACGGCGGTTTTCAGAAGAATACGGGTACGTTTGGCGCCAGAATGTAATGACGAAACAGATGACACGTCAGTGTTCTCTAATAATAGTGAACTCGTAATGTTGTTGGCATTTGGTACAGATTTCTTAGGATCTTGAGAATTCGATTCATTACCCTGGCAAAGACTGGTATGGTGTTTGCGACTGCATAACTTACAGCGGTTACGTGATTTGCATTGCGACACTTGGTGATTGTTAAGACAATTAAAACAGGCCTTAGCGTCACGTACAAACGAGCGTCTCTTTTCCTTATCAGTTATTACAGTGCAATCGGTTGGATAATGTTGACCCTTACAGAATATGCATTCTCGTTTGTATGTTGAGCGGTTAGCTGGCGTGTTAGACGACTTTACATTAGAATTTGTGAAAAATGCTGCAGTTGCGTTGACTGGCATTTTGCCGACAGATTCACACTCTTGGGGGTTGTATTGTCCCTCTTCTAGTATTTCAACTTCATTCAATAAAGCCTTTCATAATTCGTCAATTTGCCATTCCTTATTAGCGTTTTGTCGGGCAAGGTTTTTCTTTACTTCGTTGGGAAGTTTCCTCTGAATTATAGGAACGAGAATATCACCGTATGTACTCGATGATTTTCCCAGCGCATCTAAACCACGCACGTTTGTTTCAATGTTGTCATAAAAAGATCTTAGACTTGATAGCCGATTTGTTGCTGGCGCTGGTAGGTTTAAAAGTGCCTCCATGTGAGCATTAATGATCTTATGTGTTTGACCAAATCTTTCTTTTAATAACTCTACACTTTTGGCATAATTTGGGTTAGTTAATGGAAAGCCAGCGATGACCTTTTCGGCGCCGTTTGATAATTGGGCCTTAAGACAATTGAACTTTTGTACTTCACTTAGAGATGCATTGACATGTACTGCCGACCGGTAAGAGTCCCAAAAGCTAGCCCATTCGAGCGGGTTTCCATTAAACGTTGGTAAAACTAACTTTGGCAGTCGACTGCTTGAAAATACGTGTGTAGTTGTACTTACCGCTTTGGGCAATTTTCCGGTTGTGAAGCTGGAATGTTAACATTGTTACCTTGTGTTACGTTGTTACCTTGTGTTGGTATCGGTTCATCAATTGCTTGATTTACGTGTTGTTGATCCGGTTCCTTAGACGTACTGGCTTGATCGTGGACGTTTCCTGATGTATGTTGTATCGTTGATCGCGGCGAGTCTCCATGGGGGTGTGTTTCCTTTGCCTTGAGGTCAAGTTCAGCGATGAATCCCTCGGTRAGGCACATTTTCTCTACAATAGAGTCGTTTAAGTCTTCTGCGTCTATGATTTCCTTCTCGAGATCTTCTGGGCTGTCGATAAGGTTTGCGATTTGGTCGTTTAGAGTATTTATGGTCTCCTGTTTACTTCTTAGTTGATCGATATAAGATTTGATCAAAGTGATCTCTTGTCCTGACACCACACTGTCCTTAGTAACAATCTGGTCAATTTTCGTCTTAATCTTTGTTAGGTGAGCCTTGTGTGCTCGTCTTGAAGTTATGAGGCGAGTTAGTTCCTCCATTGTATCCTGGTCACGGCACCAAATTATGTGCGTAAGAGAAACAGACGAAATAATGAAGAAACGTAATTCCCTTGTGCCACGTTTAATAGAACATTGCGTTGTGTCCCGTAACGTAATATGAGATTACATATGTGTGACAAAATGATTGACAAGTTAATACATAACAAATAGAAACCCTAAAATCACAAACTATTATAATTCAAATGATTACAAATGGTTGAATAAATGTCAAAATGTTCTTCCTGACATCAATTGGATGGTTGGGTGTTTTTGAAAAATGGGAAAAAAGTCTATCTAAAACCTTTTTTTACTCGACCTTATCTGCATTATTTCAATCGCACGTAAACTAGCACTTTCTTCAAAGAGAATTTTTGAAACCGGAAAAATTCCACGACCTAGATAGATATGAATTGAATAGCACACAGATTGGATGACATACCAGAACATCTTCTTCCATCACCACTGAAACCAGGATGACAGCTACAGGTGTACGATCCAACAGTGTTTGTACATTGCGCGTTGGCATCACAGCTATGAGTACCGACAAAGCACTCATCGGCATCTAGAAAATTATAAAATATACTTCATTCACTAAAAGATTTCTTCCGAACTTTTGCTTTCAATCATACTTCAGTGAACTAAGAGGTTGAGATTTTTTTCCGGTGGCATTTTTAGAAAAAATAAGTGTACTGTTAGCTATCATCATTAACTTGAAAGGCTTAAGCAATCTGCAACGAATATAGGATATCTCCACGCCACAGACGAACTCTCTCTCTCTTTTCTATATTGCTTACACGATCTACGAGTTCACTTCATGGAAATTGAACATAA